CTCAGACAAAAACAAACAAAAAACAAACAAAAAAAAAAAAAAGAAAAAAGAAACAAAACAGTGCTTATATGCGTTTTCCAGAAAACAACTGAGACAATGTGTAACCAGTTGAAAAGGTATAAATAGATAAATCAATAAATTCATAAAGTCATATTTTTCAGAATATGATCATTTGACATCATTTCCTGTCTCATGATCATGTCGCAAATTCTTTCTGTTTTACAGCACGTGGTGGTCAGTGTTTTACTACCATTTGCAGCAAATAATGATCTTCAAAGACTTTTATAAGCTGATTGAAATTCAACAATTGACCCTTTGATAAAATCACCAAATTAGATACAAATTTACTGGTGTTGGATTTTTGGAAACAAACGTGTCGTAGTAGATAATTTTATCACCGTAAATACGAAAGATAATAGACTGACGTTTCAGACGTTAGTCCTTTTCGTCGGAGTCAATGAGAGAAAGAGAATGATGGAGGGGTTTATATAGTGGTGTAGGGAGAAAACAAACCAATAAGAAAATAGCAAGTCGAGAAACAAAAGAGAACAAAAGGATCGAAAATCATAATGGTAGGTGAGAAGTGGCTAATTAAAGGTGAAGCGTTCATTCATCCCGTGCGGATTAACTGTGCCAAGCGAATGAATCAAGCGCATTTCTTTTGTTTTGCGTGAATTATTGCTATTGTGTGTTAAGCAAAGACCAAAAACATTAGCATTAGTTTCCGAGTGGTTCACATAATTGAAATGTCGAGAAACTGGTTTAGAGAGATCTTTCTTGCGAATATCGTAAAGGTGGTCTCTGAAACGATCACCTAATCTTCGTCCAGCTTCCCCAACATACAGCATGTTACAATAAGAGCACTGAATGCAATAGATGATGTTAGATGAAGTACAGTCGAAGTGATCCTTTATATTAAAGGTAGCTTTAGGACCTTTAACAGAGATACGGGGAATAACAAAAGGGCAAGTGTAACAACGTTTGCGAGAACAGCGAAAAGTGCCAGGTTGTTTATCAGAAGGAATTTTGCCTTTAACTAAGAAGGAACGCAGATTGCGGTCTCTCTTGAAAGAAAAGAGAGGGCGTTCTTTGAAAGTGTCAGAAGTAGTAGGATCAGATTTGAGTAAATTAAAACCACGATTAATGATAGGTTTGACAGAGTTGTTAATGGGATGATAGGTAAACGTGGACGGAATACGGTCTAGGTTAGAAGTGCGAGCCTTAGGAGTTAGAGCAGTATTGCGGTCTATGGATGAAGCTTTGTGCATAGCCCGATCGATGATAGTAACTGGATAACCTCGCTTAAGAAAAAAAGAACGCATTTCTTGGCATTTGTGAGAAATATCGGCAACTGAAATCAACAATCAATCTAATTAATGTGCAGGGGCGGATCCAGGATTTCTTTTTTAGGGTGGGTGCACCAGTAATTTCAAATGGCGTGTCGTTCGTGGGCCGAGCGTGATAGAGAAGGTTGGCGTCGGCTAATAGAAGCAAAAGCGCATATTTGTACTCACGTAGTTGAGCCTCCAAATTGCACATCAGATCGATATTTTATCATATTATTATATTGAAAGCAAACTAGCCGTTGGTGGTAAGATCCAAATAAAGAAAAAGGTTTTAAATTTCAGATCCTGTAACTTCATCCTAAATATAACTGTAAATCTACGGCTGCATTCGCGACGGGTCCAAGCTTTTCCATCACGCATGTTTTGTCAAATTTCAGCCGATTTATATGATTTTATGAATAGATCGATTTTTAATCTCTTAATTATAACCTTTGCTAGTACCTGCAAGACTCACGAATAAACATTTTGACATTTTTCTCTCTTTCCCTTAAAGGTGAACGTGTCTGTACCGAAAATCAGTGGGTGATTGTCGGTGGCAACATTTCCATTCAATGTGACTCAAGTGCACCTTTCATGTACATCACATTGACAAAAATTGATGACAATGGAAATCGTACCACCATAATCACATTGCATAGGAACAACGCACCTATCTTCTACAATGATAGTAACGTTAGAAAATACCATATAAGAATCCACATCACTGCTGATTTGACGCAAGGTCATGTGGGGTTCACGCTAATTGCTGCCATTCCAAGTGACAGCGGTTCTTATGTAATGTCATTTAAGACCCAGTCAGACGTAGTTGACCAGATATCAACTACAAAAGTGAAAGTATTGGGTAAGTGACGTTAGTCTGATCCTTGGCGCCTATTGCATATCGATATTTCCTGTGGCTCTCACAACCTGAAATAGTTGTACATCTCTAACATCCTATACAGGGCATTGCCGCGCTCTAAACTGCATTATAAAGGAATATTTAGTTTATATAACAATCTCTGTCTCTCTCTGTCTCTCTCTCTGTCTCTCTCTGTCCCTGTCTCTGTCTCTCTCTGTCTCTCTCTGTCTCTCTCTGTCTCTCTCTCTGTCTCTCTCTGTCTCTCTCTGTCTCTCTCTAGCTCTCTGTCTCTGTCTCTCTCTGTCTCTCTCTAGCTCTTTGCGCTTTTTGCTAGTTAACCTGGAAAGGATGGGGTTTACCACGTTTATTTGCAAAAGGTGTTATTATACCCCTATTTGTAGAACGAGCAATTTATTTGACTTACAGTGCATTGTGTGGCACACTCGTCATTTGCAAATTACCATTTTTCATAGTTTTTTCGGGTAATAACAAGATACGATTTAAATCAAAATTCAATGCATATTAATAAAAATTCTGCTTGAAGTAAAGGTTAATTGTCTCGTTTTTTAAGGTTCTATGAACAAAACCTGCAAAATTGGAAACAAGACAAGAACATATGAAGAAGTGACTGAGGGATCTGACATAGATCTACGTCTAACAAGTTCTGAATTGAAACGCTTGAAATTTACCTGGAAGAACAACACTGCCAATATTTTAGGACAAGTGGGGCCCAGTTTGTCAGTCAAATCGATTACGCGTTACCAAGGAGGAATGTACCAAGTGGATGCACGTGATAGGTTTAACTGCTCTGCTGATATGGGGTGCAATTTTACCTTAAATGTCCAGTGTCAGTAGAAAATAGATATTTATTTTTTAGTGTTTTTTTCCTCCTCCCAAAAAGAATTAACGTCAAACTTTTAACTTCTCACTTCTCACTTCTCACTTAAAAAAAAAAAAAAAAAAAAGACTGCCGTAGAGGTGCTGCTTGAAACAGTTTTGATGTCATTTGCTGTTGTTGTCTACACGTTCCATGTCATTTGCAAAACAGTTCTTGATTTAATATTAATATCATGTATATATTTAATATTCATTTAAAACTTTGTTTTTTTTCTTCTACCTATTTGTATATTACTATTTTCAGATAAACCAGAAGCTACCAATATCAGTATCGTAAATACTAGTTCAGTGTTCTATAAGGAAGAAAACATAACAATCCTTTGCAAGGCAGATGCCAATCCACCGGCAGATTATTCGTTGTATTTTAGCAACAAGGCAATCCAAGGTGACAGAAATCGCCTAGGTGTGTTTAATGTGAAATTTGAGCTGACAGGAAACAATACCATCGAATGTGTCCCGTTTAATAAAGTTGGTAGTGGCCCAAAGCAGCGTTTGTCTATTTTTGTAAGAGGTAAGCATTTTTCCTTGCTAATGTACCCCCAA